AGAGAGAGAGAGAGAGAGAGAGAGAGAGAGAGCAGGTAAGTCTCCGACATCGCGGCTGGGCTCCTGGTACTTCCATCGACAGGATGCGCAAAATCGAATGAATCTACCTCTACAACATGGAAATATACACTGCGACATTTGCGTGTGTGTGTGCGTGTGTGTGTTTGTGTGTGTGTCTGAGAGAGAGAGAGAGAGAGAGAGAGAGAGAGAGAGAGAGAGAGAGAGAGAGAGGAAGGAGGGGAGAGTGAGAGAAAGAGAAAGAGAGAGAAAGAGAGAGAGAGAGAGAGAGAAAGAGAGGGAGAGAGGAAGGAGGGGAGAGAGAGGGGCTCGTGGTTACCCACTTGGCAACTTTACGACATGAAGYCTCGCTCCTCCGGCTGCTTCTTCAACTCCTTCACGAAGACTGTAGTGCCCTGGYTATGGCTGGACGCCGCCGCCTTCGACTGCTGYTGCTGCATAGGAGACGTGGAGGCAACGGGCAACGCACTGTGGGCGCGAAGGGCACAAAGCTGAACTACCAGGGTTCATCCACGCAACGAGTGGCAACACTCGGGATTCGAAACTTTAAAAACCAAACCAAATTCAGTTCCCCTCTTTTCTTTTTTCCGGGGCCCCGCGCGGCCTTAAATTGTTGTTGTTGTTTTTTTTTGTTTCTTGACGCGACATCCCACTCGAGCCTACAACACCCCCCCCCAACTTTTTTTTTTTTTTGCCGACCCCTTATTTTTGGGGTGCGCCGCACCCCGTACGCGCACGTGCGGGATGCCGCGGACCTCGATGCACTGCAAGTATGATAAAAATTCATAACTTCAGTTTCAGTGCACGGTTTAGAGCACCGAAGGTCTTAAAATTTTCAAACCAATTTTCTCGCCAACTCTGATCTCGGCTCCCATCGGCGAATGCCGGCCGGTTGTAGAGTTAGAATAAAAAATACCCCAAACTTTTGTCTTAGAACAATTTTATCAACGAGGGTTTTGGTTCATTAGGGTTTGGTTTTTGCGCGCGC